GTCATGTTGTGATGGTGTCCCGGTCATGTTTTGATGGTGTCCCGGTCATGTTGTGATGGTGTCCCGGTCATGTTTTGATGGTGTCCCGGTCGTGTTGTGACGGTGTCCCGGTCATGTTTTGATGGTGTCCCGATCATGTTTTGATTGTGTCCCAGTCATGTTGTGACGGTGTCTCGGTCATGTTTTGATGGTGCCCTGGTCATTTTGTGATGGTGTCTCGGTTATGTGATGATGGTGTCCAAGGAAGAGATGGTCGATGTGTTGAAAACAGCAGCTGTTTCCAGATTTTTCTTTTTGGCCCGGTTTGTATCTTGCTATTGGGGTCTCCAGCTGGGCTAATTTGATCAAGAGCCATGGCAGATTTCTTCACTATGGGGGGGGGCTTTATGTATAAATCAAGAGGCGACATGGAAAGGGGCCGCCCTGTCCGTCCATACCACAGGACTGCAAGCTGAATCATTCCAAGAACAAACCCGCAGTTGCACTCCAAGCACTTGCACCTCACCATCACAAAACCAAGGCCTTAAGCATTTTTGTTCATCCACTGCCGTTGGGACGGATCGCAGGGAGAAAGGGACCACTCCGCTCTCTTCGGGGACCGACCACTCCGCCTCCAGGAGAACAGCTTCCACGGTGTGCGAGCGGGGCGCGTGCCGCTCCTGAAGAGTTGGCGACTCTCCATCAACGAAGTGGTCGACAGGCGCGCTCTGCGTTCCGCCCGGGGCGGACGGAACGCCGAGCAAAAAAGCATGTCTCATGAAAGGGGAGGTGGTCTTGCAACCTACTAAACAAAACTCCCGGTGTGGGGGCTGATTTGGGTCGTCACCTGGCATCTCACCGCGGGTGTGCGTCATCTCCGACCGACCTGGTCGCCCTGGTCGCCTTGGGGCCTTCCCATGACGCACCTCAGAAAGCCGAGTTTTGGAGCTTCGCTTGCCACGGAGGAGTCTCTGCGCGGAGTTCCAAGCGCTGGCGGAGCTGGGCGACGTCCTGGGCGACGTCCAGGTGCGGGTCCGGTGGCACCGGTGTCGGGCTGTCTACAGCTGTTTGGGTCAAATGACAAAAGGTCATGAGTCATGACTGGGATTCTCTCAGGGTACCTGGATGGCATTTGGATGCATTTGGTATGCGGGCGATGACTGGGCCGGCTTGGGTGATGAAAAAGGCCCGACGTGTGGGCAGCTGCATGATTGAGGGTGGGATTGGAGAAAAAAAAGGTCTGTCACCACCATAGCATCTGTTCAGGTGATGCTTGAATCCAAAGAAGGTGAGCTCTCAGAGATTCGAAAGCCGAAATGATGGAATAATTTTGGTTGGACATCGAATTCAACAATTACGGCACTTTTCTGTATGATATAGAGGCAGTGGACATCATCAGGGCACCGATCGGTGTGAGCTGGGTCCTTCCAAGCGCTCGGCCGATCCGACACGAAAGGACCGGAATTGGCGCCAAAGGACCGGACCTGTGTCAGGGGGCGGTTCGAACTTCAGTACCTTCCTGGAACCCCAGTCCCAACCAGAAAGAAATGGATGTTTCCCCAAACAACCATTTCTTATGTAAAGGATTTCAATTGCCATATTGGAACAACCATTTGTTTCTAGTTGTTTGGGGTTCCAGGTTGTGAGGATGTGGGACAGGATGCCCCAACCAAAACCAGCTTTCCAACGGCCACCGCGGCCCACGCGACGCGCCAGGGCGACGGCTGGCGGGGCGCTGAGTGGTGGGGTTGTCAATCGTTGCTTCGAACCTCACGCTGTGAAGTCGAACTTGGAAAGAAAGGAAACCCTACAAGTCCAACGACCCAGTAAAACCAGGTCGTTTGCTTGCTAAACCAAGGTGTTTTTGTATTGCCAACTCCAGTAGAATGAGGTCATTGGCCTGTAGGGAAATGGACCATTGCCAATAACAGTCGACAAAAGATGATCAGGATTGTCACATATCATATCATATCACATATATATCATGATCATTCCCAAGTATGTAATCATCCACTGGTACCTGTTATTGGGATATACCCAAGACGACGACCTTCAAAAATTGGAACACCAGCATACGGAGCTCCCACAGACACCCTCCAAGGTACCAGGCCAAGTCTCACACATGTGTTTTTGCGATGTGCTCCCTTCTGCAGCTGAGTGGATCCAATACGAACCAACCAAACCCTCCCGGAACTTCTCGCGCCTTCCACCACGCGTGCCCTGAAGAGCCTGGACCCTGCCCCTTTCCCCCAGCCCGCTGCGACCCGCGACGGCTGCGCCGCCGAGGCGCGGGGCTCGCGGTGCGGTGAGGGTCTGGGTCTCCAGTGCCTCGTGCCTCTCCTGCGCCGCTCGGACGCGAAGAAGAGACCGGACAACGAACCACGTGCACGCAGCGCCGGGGGGGCGGTGGGCGACCAGGCGGTGGTCGAGCTTGGCAAGGTCAGACGTGCATGGAGTGCGACTGGAAATCACTCATTGTGACGTACAGAAGTGGTTTCCAGGAGCGGAATTTCACGAGAAAAAAGGGCATGGCATGGCTGACAGGGACCATGAAATCCGCCATACCCAACAGTTGGTTTTCACTCCAATTGCTACAGAATTGTAGAATGGAATGTAGATCAAACTTCAGCCTTCCAAACTTCCTCGTGCTTCGTTCACAACTGGATGGTTCAGTGATGGTCTTGATAGGTTTCACTGCTGAGGTGAGGGCCATTCGCCAATTCTTGCAGCTCTTCCCGGGCCTTTCTGTCACGGTGCAGTGCAGCCTGACTGGTCCAGTGGTTGGGAGGGGAGCCACGGAAGGGATGGATGGGATGGATGGATGGGATGGATGGATGGGATGGATGGATGGATGGATGGATGGATGAATGGATGGATGGATGGGGGGGAGGGAGGAAGATGATGGAGCACGTGAAAGCCTTACGCCGTGAACGCCCCATGTGCGTGCTCGTGTCCTTGACAAGGCATGACCACACCATACCACACCATTTTAGTTAGACCAGTAGTGATTTGTAGTGCCATAAGGGGCTTTAGGGGGATAGACTCTTCCAGAGCCTAGATGTTCGTCTTGTGTCACGGGGGTGCTAGCGCCGCCTTATGAACGGCCTACTCTTGCAAGCCAAGAGTACAGCTGCTGGTTGATCTTGTTGATTGCTGTCATTTGTACAAGCTCCATACCAGGAGCCTCCGACCTTCGGGGTGTCCTGGCTGGACTACCCCACACTCCTGGGCTTCCAGACAGGGCACCCCGACAGGAGGTTCCAGAAACCCCGCATTGGACAAGATCAACTTCCAGCACCACGGAGAGACCACGCTCCATGAACCGCCCCCGAGAAACGGAATCCGAGGTGATTGGGAGACGTCCATCAAACAGCCCGGGTGCTGGTGTATGACTCGTAGATTTTGCCCACAAAGGTTGAGGAACTCTATAGACTCTATAGGCTCTAGACTCTAGACTATATATAGGCACCCCAGGTGACGGGTAGTTCAGGTCACATTACCCCAGGCTACGGTCACTCCGTCTAAGGTTGTCCTTAGGAGCCCCTCTTCCGAACACTCCGGGAGTCTGCCCTCAGGCGATCGAACGAGAGATGCGCGCGAAAGAAATGGGTTTCGGGGCGAGCGCGGGTGGGTCGAATGGGCTGGGGCGAGGTGGTCGAGGAGCTCAGAAACGGCCTGAAGGTTTAGCGGCATCAAGCTAGCTGGTAGAATGTCATGTTACATATTATGATATATTATGACATATGTTCTTACAGGGTCTTGTGGATTTCACACCCCACGCGATGTGAGGTGCAAGCGCCGGCGCAACTCACTATGTGCATCTCGAAGCGAGGATCAGAAGAGAATTGAGAAGTTGGATATTCTGCATGATCCGGATGTTTCCTGTACGGTGGGTAAGTCGACCTCAGGTACTCTAATAGGAGTCGAGGAGTTGCCTCTGAAACTCGACTCAGCCGATGGCCATGCCTTCGACGCCCTAACCCAGGGCTGGAGTGAAGTACCAGAAGGCCCTTATCTTCGATCACGTTTGTTTCTTTTTGCATTTTTGCGTGGCCTTCTGGGTCCTAAAGTGAAGTTGAAGTTGGACTTTCGCTCGCGCGCCAGACCGCTTCAATGATTGAGAATTCGAAGCAAGGAACAGCAAAGAACTCACGGAACAGCAGTGCAACAATGTGCAACACGACGTCCTGTTTGCATGTTTTTGACAATTGCGTCGTTCCCTGATACTGGTTTGAGTGGTACATTTGTGTTCCTGCTTGCATGGGTCAAGCTTGACACCTGTCCCTCCCAGTGGGGCCGACGTCGACTTTCCACCAAAAAAGATGGAGACCGGCTATCGATCTTTTGGAGTGCCTCCATGAAACGCCCACCTCCTACCCTGCAGCTAGCAGCACTCACCCAAGCCCCCCAAGCCCCCAAGCCCACTGGCTCCACCACTCCCGTTGAAGAAACCCAGCCCCTGCAGCGCTCCATGCGCAGCGCCCGCCGCCGCTTCCGCGCCGAAGTCGGCGTCGAACGGCGGAGAGCGTCGGTGTCCGCGCTGTGGCATGGCGCGGATCGCGCGGAGGAGTTTGAGGCTCAAGGACTGGACCTTAAGGAAAGGCGTCTGCATTCGGAGCAGCTGACTGGGTCCGAAAACACTGGCCATGGCTAGCAATGAGGTCGATAGTGGATTCTTTGGGTGTGTTTTTTATTGTCCAACTGTCAAACTGTCAAACTCCACGCTTGCCCCTCCTGCTCCGGTGTTGCAACGACCTTTGTTGAGTTGGGCACAATGAATGGATGGAAATGGACTTTTTTGGAGGGCACCTGTTGCGAATGAGCCTTCTCAAAGACAGACCCCTCAACTTAGGACTTGCTTGAATGGGCCTTCAGAAAGACAGACCCATCAGTCTTCAGGGGTTGGCACGTCAACTCGCACACACACACACACACAGGATACAGGATGATCTCAGCCGCGCTTCATGGACCTGCCCCAGATTTCCTAGCATTTTGGTCTTGCTTAATGCACAGCACCTGCATCTTAGAAAGGACCGAGCACCTGACCGGCCTGCGCCGTACTCTGGTGAGCAGTGCGCTAGGCATTTGCGGAACGATCCAAGAGAGGTTGAAGAACCCGAACTAGGCTATCCCAGTTCGGTACCCTGGTTATGGGTCCTATGAAACCGGTCACTGGATACCTCTGTTGGATACTCTTAGTGCTTGCTGAAGGAGATCAAGTTCACTCACCTCCGCATCCCATCCTGCTCAGTCCCATCCTTCCAGCCCCGTCCCAGTCCTTCACCGCTTCCTCCAGAAGGGACGACTGTATACGCCGTGCACGACCCACGATCCGCGCGCCATCTCCGTGCGCGGAGCGCGTGTGGAGCCGCAGGAGCTGCCCATCTTTAGCCTGGCGCAGCCCTTCAAAGAGCTGACGGAGGTGGCGTTTACGCGCTGTGTGCGCGCTGTGCGCGCGCGCGCGCGTCTCCACTCGTTCATGTAGTGCGCTCCACGCGCGGCGCGGTGGGAAACACCGTGGGGAGGAAAAAGTCGTGAAGCAGCCTGAAAGAGCATTCTGCAACACATGACTCATGCAAATCTCGTTCTTTCGTGGTCTTGCAATGTTTGACCCAGGGTGAGGCTGTATGGTAAACCATGGTCAAATAGGACCCTGTAGTGGTACATATGGGATGGGCGACCTTAGGGCTGTTCAACCTCTCTAGGAAACCCAAGATGCAGCCACTCAAATGACCGGCCCCAACTGCCACGTCCGGCCCCGGCCACCGTCCAACCCCACCGTTTTCCTTCCTTCCATCGAGCGCTGCCGTTCCCCTAAAAGTCGAACCATTGTTTGAATAGCCTGGTCATCCCGAACCACCATGGTTTCACTAAGGGTTTTACACTACAACACCAGCTCAACCGTTCTTTTAATGGTCTTTGAAGGCTAGGGGACCTATAGGAAATCACAGTAGCCATGCAGCCATGCTCGGGGGAACATCGTTCCCATGCATGCATTTTTAAAACATGGTCGACACTTCCATCCCTACAAGTCCTTTCCGACCCAGTTTTCCACCAGGTCGTTGGCTTGCAAAACACCCTAGCATGTGAACTTGCATGACCAACGACCCAGTATTTCATGCGGTCCTTGACCTCTACGGCATCGATCCTTCAACCGGAGGAGCTTCCGGAGCTGCCGTTGAACCTCTTCGAGCCGCGCTACGTGGAGCTCGCCCGGCGCATCGGCGCCGCCCCCGGCGGAGCCGCGGGGAGCGGCACGGGGAGCGGGCAGTTCGGGTACACGGCGGTGGTGCAACGGCGCAAGGGCGGACGAGGCCGGCGGTGGAGTGGGGAAGGCCAGGCCTGAAGGCATTTCTCTAGAGATCACTGGCCTGTATGAGGTTTTGAACAGAATTCATTCCAGACCTCAAGAATGGAACCCAAATTGGTGTGTTCTTCCCTTAACTGGGCCACCCCTTCAATGGATTGGTGTACGGGAAGAGCTACAGGAAACCATGGTTTGCACCCCCCCCCCACCAGGCATGGGTTTCCTGAAACGAATCCCTCAAACATCCTCAAACCTCGCCAAACCGATTCTTAGAACATTCGTTAATAGAAATGCTGGGAGTCAAGGACTACAAAAAGCATAGTCTTGAGGGTGCCTGTTTCAGGGACTGTCCTTTACTTCACTATGGAAAAGTTATAGTCTTTGGACTTCCAAGACCATTCAAAGAAAGGTTGACCTGGTTGGTGGTTCGGGAGTCAGACCATTAAAACAATGGTTGGCCAGGAAGCCTAGGGTATAGTCGAACTGGGCTTCTAAGGGGAACAGTTCGTTCCCATACACTCCATGGGAGTGGAATCTTTGGCGCCCCATTTTTTCCCTTTTTGGAGGTCTACCACCCCAATGTAATTAGGCATCTTATGGCAGCCCCATGACGTCGCGTCTGGGATAGAAGACCTCAACCGCATCTTTTGCAGACCTCAACCGTTTCCAACAGAGGTAGGTCAGAACCCTATATATGCCTATAGACTATCACCCCAGGTTTTCCGGGTCCTATGAAACCGGTCACTTCCACCTCTCTGGGTTCCGAAGACCGTCCGCGTAAAGCCAGCCCGGGGTCTGAAGCGCAAAGCCGCGGCGCCAGGCATGTTGCTGAGCGCCCGGGACGTGCGCTGGACCACCCCGGAGGGTCCGGTGGTGCTTTTGGCCCGGGCGCTGCGCCGCCGCCCGGTTGGTGGGAGAGGATGGTGGGGTGGTGGTGGTGGGGTGGTGAGTGCGGTGCAGTGAGTGGGTCTGGGTGGGTGTGGGTGGAGTTTTAGAGGAAATCACAGCTGAAAGAGAGTGTAGAAACAAATGGGTTGAGGTGATTGCAATGCAGCGGTGAGAGGAGGAGGAATTCTTGGTTTTTGGGATGACATTGTGCTTTCTGTTCGAGCAGGCGGTGTTGATGACCTTCAGAGGAGTTGCGATGGGTTCTGGACAGTTCTGGATCTGAATCCACTTGGGATCAGATGAATACCTAGATCTTCCAACTGTGCAACAATTCATTCCTTTTGTTGATTTCATAGATGAAAAGGCAGGACATTCTGCAGAGTTGGAAGCTCCAGGTCTATCTCATGCCTGTTTCATGCACTGTGCCGTTGTTCTTTTCTTTTTTCTGGGTATGACGACGGGTCTGGTGTTATTCACATTTGGCGGCCCAACCTCCGTGATCGTCGGGACACCTCCGTGAGGTGAGCTCACCTGAAGAGCGTGGAACTACAGGTGTTCACATCCTCAACGAATAAATGGACGTGATGAAGGTGAATGACAGCGGTGAAGGGGCCCCAGGAATCCGCGAGCCACCGGAGACAAGTACAAAGAACATCACTTGTCCCTTCTCGATGGACGAATTCATACGAATTCCATGGAGAACCTCCTTCCAACCTCATCGAATGTGCCCCCCAAACTCTTTCCAGATTCCTGCCATGTCCCGCCCCTTCCACGGTAGAACTCGGCGCGTGCCGCACCTCCTGTATAGAGACTTCGACCCACCATGTCCGCCCCTCCGCCGCTCGAGGCTTCCGCGTGCTGGGCCTCCACCGGGAGGAGATGCCCAAAGGCGGCCCGCCACTGCACCTGGCACACGTGCAGCTCTTGAGCGACCGAGCGCCACGGCGGTGGCGTGATGGGTGGGGTCTGTGGCGACTGGTCGCAAGAAAAGTGTCGCAAACCCTAGGGATCCAAGTGCCTTCTCAGAAGGCAAACCTACATGACAGTGTCTCCAATCACCTTCTGAGAAGGTACTTGGATCCCTAGAATCCTAGGGAAAGAAAGCGAAAGCCTAGAAGTCGTGGCCCACCACCTTTTTGAAGCGTGAATCCCTGAAGAACCCTTTTTTTACTAGCACCTTTTGGCACTACAAAACCAGATCGTTCCTAATTAAACATGGTTCGTCACGGACTTCGAGGGGCAAGGGCCTGTGTCGACCTCCTGTGCCTGGGCCGACCTCCAGGTGCGGGAGGGGTTCCTTTCTGGGCGGCGTGGAGGGAGCCGTGGGGTCCAAGGGATCTGTATGTTCACCCACTCAGAGGGTGCACGAATTTGGGATGTGCAATGACACCTGGATTCACAACCTGTCCGACGTGTCCTTGATTGCTCTATTCAATTCCTCTTCGTGTCTGGTTTTCCCAGTCTGGCCGCCTTCCAATGTCCTT